ACAATTTTTGACTAAAATTATTGTTTTAAAGAAAAAAAACCCACGACTTTCTTTTTATTTTATGAATATATAGAATGTTGACTTTCAAAATTTGTCACTGACATGTAATTGTATTGTTGGTCTTGGGAGAAAAACAGATTTAAAATTTAGGAGTTTTTGAAATTTTTCATTTTCGAATTTTAGCACATTTTCAAATGGTTGCTATGGAAACAAACTATGTAGTAAATTCAAAATTTTAACGTTTTTGTATAGTTTGGGGTTTTGTTTGTCAATACTGTAAATATACTTATTGTTTGTATTGATTAACTTTTTTTCAATGGTTCTTTAAAATCCCTTATATTTCAATTTTCAAAGTCTACTTTTGTACGTATTTTGGCAAAATTTTGTAAGGATGGTTTCCATGGCAACCAAGGCTCAAAAGAAAAAAAATAATATATGAAACTTATTTTCATACCATACCTTCTTCATAAACAAAATATAAAGACATTTGAAGAGGGGTCATGAATCGCCCATCAGCAGGAACCCGCGTGATTCTTACAAAGACAGGTACTTAATTAACATTTAAAGCTTGCTTTCAGAAATTGTAAGATTTATACCCCACATCTCCTTTCATTCATTTCGAATATGATATGCTAATAATACTAGTGTTTTGAATACCAAATATCATCACATTATTACTAGGATTTCAAGGAGTCGAATATAAATCATTTTCATGATTTTTTAAAGCCTTATGGTCATAACCATGTCAAAGGTAGGTCAACCAGTAAATATTTCTGATTAAAAAAAAATAATGATAAATATTACGTCTCCTACGCCTATAAGAAGATGTAAATGAGACAAGAGAAAACTATCCACTAGATACCAAATTACATAGATAAACCAATCATCAGCCAAATTGTCCAAATAACGGTGAAAGAGCAGAAAAATCATTAACTAACATTTTTGAGAGTTTAAATGTAACATGTTAATGGTAAAGTCAGTCAATACCAAACTTTTGAGTTAAGCCAATTGTAACTCATTTTTAAAGTTTGTTCTTATGTTGTGCTGTTACACCACTGTCACAGGTTATTGACAGGGTTGAGCGCTCACAAACATGTTTAACCCCGGCATATTCTTTATGTGCCTGTCCCAAGTCAGGAGTCTGTAGTTCAGTGGCTGTCATTGGTTCATGTCTGTCATATTTGTTTTTCGTATATTGTTTTGTTACAGATTAGGTCGTTAGTTTTCTCATTTTAATTGTTTCACATTTTTCATGTCGGGGCTTTTTACAGCCGATAGTATGGGTTTTTCTCATTGTTGAAGGCGGTATGTTGGCCTATGATTGGATTCATCCACCTCATTTGAACTCTGATGGATATTTTTCTCAATGGCAATCATACCACATCTCCTCCACTTATAGATCAAAATATCAAAAGTATAGCAGAAGGGGGTGATTGGTATTTTGAATTGGCGATGATGAGATGAAAATTAGTCTAGCGGACAGCAGTTTATGTTTTATCACAAAATTAGCTTAATATTTACGAAAGCTTACAAAAAAACAACTTTTTTCGCTGTTTTACCGATTTGGTCTATCGGAAGTGTGTCAGAGAATCTTAGAGTCTTGTCAAACTTAAACTTAAGCGAACCAAGTTGCATTTCGAAGACAGAGCAAAGACTGGTTAGCTTGAAAGCAGAGTAATGTGTCCGTGTATGGTGAATTTCTACCTAAAGACTGTTGAATTTCTAAGCTTGTCAGCTAGTGCAAAACAGGGTATCATCATATCGCATTAACATCTTATTGTCCTGAATTTGCAGTGGAATATTTGACCTATATATATATATTATAAATTTCATTAATCAATAAACCTTTGTTATATTTTTTGGTAACAGTGTGCATGTTGTTTTTTTTTTGGCGGGATCATTGAACAAATTTTGAAACATTACAACTAAAAGATGATTGTAAGAACACATTTTTTGCCAATTTTTGTCACTTATATGACTTCTTGAATATCAGAACTGTGTGAAATATATAATTCTATGAAAACTGTAAAATTATCACTTATCACACATGTGTTAAAAGTCGTTTTAATATTCAATAAGTAAAACAGTAGTGCAAGTTGGTTGCAGCAGGTTGACTTGGATTTCACTTATCTTGATATATAACTGAACCAAACTGTGATAAGTAGGCCTGGGTAACCTAACTCATTTTCAAAGGTTGACCGACTCTCTCATTTACTTTCCAATAGCAAGTGAAATGTCAAAAGGTCTTACAGTATTTGAACTCGGACATGAAATTAAAAAAAAAAGTCAGTCAATCATAAAGTGTAGACCAAGGTTACCTACTTTTGTCAAAATATGTTCAAAATTTGTTTTGCACTTCATAGGATGTTGTATGAAGTCCCAGAATTTATTACAACTGAAATTTCGATGAAGTTTTAACTGTATGTCAACAGAACCTCCTCGATATAAGAACATATCACACTTTACAGATGGTTTCCAATATTAGGTTGCAGGTTTTATAGATCATATATATCACAGAAACTTGAGCAAAAGCAGTGAACCATAAATACAGATTGATACTCTGTATGTAACTTAATGAGATTGTGGGGAAAGTGAGATTTTTTTTTTAAAGTTTTCAAGTCTTTTGGGACTATTCTATTTTGGTTTTATATAGTTAAAATATTTTCTAACAAAAGTTTACAAATCTAAGTATTGAATGAATCATTCTTCTTATTATTTATGATTTGATAATAATTGAAGATTTTAGTTTGTGATTTTATAGAAAGTACCTGTAATACTATTCTGTTAGACATAGTTAGCTTTCTATACCATAACAAAAACCTTTATCTGCAATTATTTTACATAATATAAAGTTATAATGTATGTATATATGTTTTTGCTGCATCAAATATAAGTGGATACCTTTCAAATGTGTCCATTTCCAACGACACAAATTCTGAGTTGCCCATTGGAAGAACTTACTACGGCTTGGTGTAAAAATATTGAAAAATATAATACCTCCAGTACTCATGTTAAAATGAGCATAGAGCTTGGTATGAGAGATTTACAATTCAAAAAGGAAAACCAACAGGTACAGGTCACAACACACCCCGTAACAGTGAGCCAAACCCCCATCTTATAAGTAAGTTAACTAGAGGCTCTAAAGAGCTTGTGTCGCTCACTTGGTCTATGTGCATATTCAACAAAGGACTCTTCAACAATGTAGACGAAAATAGAATTCATGACAAAAATCTGTTTTCTTGATTTTGTATTGCTAATCATTTAGTCTGTTTAGATTCTCTCTACCTTCTTTAGATTTGCTCAAAACACACAAGAGGGTAAAAAAAATCCTCATTTAAGGGCAATCACTCCTATAAAGAGTGACAGTCTACTAACTATATTGGCAAAAATTGACTTGTCAGTAGATCTTGCCTTGCTGATCATTTTTATGATTTAAAGTGTCTATTTATCTATTATAATTTTTATCATATAAGGCAAAACGCCAAAAAAAATAGTTAAAATCGTCATTTAAGGGCAATAACTCCAATAAGGAATTGTCGGACGATTTCCTCGCATTTTACCCGTATGTTCTATTTTTTGCCATGTCGGCCATCTTGGTTGGCAGACGGGGTCATTGGACACATTTTAAAACTAGATACCCTAATGATGATTGTGGCCAAGTTTGGTTAAATTTTGCCCAGTAGTTTCAGAGGAGAAGATTTGTGTAAAAGTTAACAGACGACGATGACGGACACCAAGTTTTGAGAAAGCTCACTTGGCCCTTTGGGCCTGGTAAGCTAATAATGACTTGAATAACAAAATATAAAACAGTTCAAAAGAGAAACCAAGGGTCTGAATAATAAACGAAAAACTATTGCAGACAACAACCAACATCCCCACTGGATTACAGGCTCCTGACTTTGACAGGCATTCATTTTTATGTCCAAAAGCACTTCACAAAACAGATTTACAGTCTGACAGATATTTGCTTATTTCATTTTGAAACATCTACCCATATAAACAGAATATTGTATGAATAGAAGTATATACTAATTCAGAAAATTAAACACTTTTTGACAAGCCGTGTTGTATAGTGCCTGGGTATCTAATGGCATATACAAGATACAAAAATTGTTACTAAATTTATTTGTACATATCACAGTGATGCCTACTGTACATATATATATATATTGTGTGTGTGTGTGTAAAACAAGTGAAATAAAGCCATAAACAAAATATACAGTGTGTCAATATACACAAACAGAAGTGATACTTTTACAGTATGGCACTAACAGAAAAATCATAAACATTATTTCAAGCATAACCTCATCTTCCTCAGTATACATTTATATAAGTGTGTACTTTCATCATTTCAAATAAGTTTTCTATTTAATGGTTTGCTCTTTTGTGATAAAACACCTCACTGATAACACATCTTTCCATATTTGCTCTATCTTAATACAATTTATAAACTAATGCCTTTCTTTATTCATTAAAATCACAAATAAAAAACTATTTTCTACTTTCTCCAATTGGTCTATATAACAAATTCAATAGCCTGCATTTAAACCTCTTTTGCTATATATATAACCTTAGACTTCTTTGATATATCTACACAATATATTGTTCAGAGTAAAGGATCAATCTAAAAGACCTAAGCTTCACAGGTAAAAAGGTTAATTGTTTGTTGCTTGTTTGCTTGCCTGATCGATGTCCAGTGGCAAGTGTTTCATTTATATTCAGGATACCTTAACTCAGTAGAAAGGTCAATATCTTAGATCTGCTTTGTCTGTATACTTTTCTGTTTAACACTTTACTTTAATTTATCAAGTGTTTAATTCAGTAAATCCTTTGTCATTTATTTAATAACTTCTCTTCAAACATTATACAAGATTGGTATGAGTGATATCTTAAAACAAACTTGTGCTGAATTTATCTACCTATATGATGTATTGATAGTTGTATTTGCTATCCATAATGTAGACTAAAAAAACACAAAGACTACCGAGTGAATACTGTTTTCCCTTTTAGGAATATTCTCTATAAATCATATTTGTGTCTCTATGTCTTTCTATCAGCACCAGGTGAATTGATGGGATTCTATGAGCACCACTTACACAACTTTATCAATGTTGCATCATTGGAGCATTAAGATGTCAATCAGGTAAATATGTGAAGTTTCATGTGCTCCTCTGCTTCCTGAAAAAAACCCCAGTTTCAAATTACTTTACTATAGGATTAACACAATTTTTTCAAGAGATTGTTGATGTGCAAACTATGTTGATTAAACCAAAAATTGAATAATAGTCCATAAAACTTCCATGTAAAGTTTGTGAATCTAAATCATCCGGTGTACAAACAAATTATGAACGCATAAAACAGAAATGATAAAAAATCTGCTATCAACACCAAATTGCCAAAATATATATATATAAAAAAACATTATTAGTAAGATATGATATCAAACAATTTGAGTGAAGTCTTCTAATTTGCATTGTTTCATATTCTGTTTTTGGATTCTTTAGTGATGCATAATTTAACTTTTATACCACTGTCACAGTGAAAAGGGTTGAGTCCTTAAAAACTTGTTTAACCCAATCACATATTCAAGAGATCTTTCCTAAACCAGGGTCCTGTTGTTAATTCGTTGTTGTTATTTCTGTTAAAAAAAGTCTTTGGTTTATCACTATTAGCAATTTTATTTTAATAACTTCAAATTGTTATTTTTAGAGACCATTTTATAACTTGCTCCAAGATGTGGGTGGTTGCTCATTCAATTTGTAGAAGACCATATGGTGATCTGTAGATGTTTTCTGGTTCTTCAGTCTTTAGTAGACAGAAGTTTAATTTCCATCATTACCACATCTCCACGTTTCATTTTTACATACACAAATACATATGATCTCATTGACATTTTATTCATATATGTATGTATTTAGAAATAATAAGTCATTCAAGTTATTCTACCTGATGACCTTCTTTTGTTGATAACCAATCTTTACATCCTCTCCATAGACAACGGAACAGTTTTTGTGTCGGGTGTCACATGAAAGACATCACATGAGACAATAAATGTGGTTTGATTCCAAAAACATGACAACAGCCTTCAAACTATGAATAAATAAACACAACATGTCATCTCAAATCACTAATAGTGCTTATCAGTTTAATGTAGAAAGAAGTTTAGTGTTCATTCATCAAAACAATACTAGTAATAAAAATCATACAAAAGTTTATCTATGGAAATCAGTTGAAATGCTTGTGGATTCATTTATGTTCATAAGTTTCGAATTTAGTAGTTAAGTTTGATAAAAATTTCAAGGATACTAAATTGCATGTTATCATAAATTCAGGTAAATCCAGATAAGCGCTTTTGACACATAAAATTTAAATATAAAGTTTTAATTTCATTTGCTCCAAGCACAATCCCCAATAAAATAGTTTTTTTGTATTCAAATATATTCAAACTACCATTTTTGAGACATAAGCATGGGTAATGATATAACTGTTAAGGTAACGATGGCAACAGGATCCAGAAGAATTTAGTTTCTGTGGTTGTTCTTGTATTGTTCCAGTACAGTTTCATAGCTAAACATGGTAAAAAGTAAAATTACAAAAATACCGAACTCCGAGGAAAATTCTAAACGGAAAGTCCCTAGGTAATATTGCCTATTGGTTGTTAGTGTTTTTAACACATGCCCTTGTTTGAATATTTTAACTTCAATGTATATTGTATATCCCCATAAAAAAGGGACATATACAGTCTTAGCAAACCATATCCCTCCTCAATTGCAGTCATGGACAGAAATAGCTTATATATCAAAACATTACTACTCATCAACAAAAAAACGACTCAAAACTTTACAAGGATTTCATTAATACATTTCAACCCCATGTATTTACTTAATTACCTGGCACATTGTTTCTTTATCTCTGTTGATAGGAATTTCTTCTACAATTCCATTTCTGTTACACAGTAATTATCTAAAAGAAATGATTAATTTTCAACAAAAATTATGTTACAGAATGAATATATCCAACTAAGTTATCACCTCCAAATGTTCAGAAAAAATATACTATGCAACAGATCTTTTTTTAAGGTTGTAACATTTTACATCAATATTTTTTTTTTCAAAATTGAATTAATCAAGTGTGCTACATATAATTATTTGGCTTAATTAATGTATCTTGTACTTGTTAGTCTTATGTGTAAAGGTAAATAAGTATTATCATTTACATCATTTTATGACTTCAGGATGTTCGCTCCTCTCTTTAAAAATAACAAGCTTTTTAAAAGACTGTTATAAATTGACTGTATATAAATTTCGGAACCCAAAAAGCAGAAAAATGAAAGGTCCATGTTTTTGCGATATAATGAATTGAAAATTTGGCGGGAAATTATTATCTTTACATTTTTCATACATTCAATATTGGCACCTCTTTTCTTTAAAAAACTATGATAAAATAACAAGGAAATTATAAGATTCCAAAAATGGCTTTATAAACTATATGTAATGAAATTAAGAAAATATAAGTAGGGGTTAGCGGGCAAAATTTTTATTGGCCCTGCATGGATAAAACTAGAGGATTCTGAATATCTGACAAAAATTCAAAAACAAGAGTAGCGAACATCCTTAAAATCTATATCTAACAGAGTAAAATGCACTGGTACCTTATCATCTATAACTGTCATCTGTGTAACCAGTCCTCTCTCTGCTCCATAATACAATGCTTTCAATTTGTGGTCCTGGAAACAGGATATAGGAAATACAGATATTAAACAATGAAAATATTGACATCTGATTTTGTTGAAACATTCATAAAAAGACTTAACTGAATTTCTGCATTGCTTTTCTTGTGTTTTTAAATTACTGTCACTTATCCAACAACTCCTTTCATTACTCAGTCAATATTAAAAAAGTATAGATAATTTAAAGGCAACCTTATTTAATCTGCAAAATAGATCCATTTTTAACTTTGCTTTATTGATAACTGTGCATCATATACCTATATGGAGTTATATTCTTTCAGAACGACAGGTATTTCTTTTGAAGAAACAACCCGTTTATTAGACTGAAATACCAGAAAATGTTGTTAACGCACATTTTAACTTTTGAAAAGAAAAAAGTTTGGTGAATTTATAGCTACATTAAAGGGAAATGAGAAATATGTGAGATAAATTTGATTATGCAAAACTTTTCATAACACTTTTAAAACAAGCAAAATTCTATCACATTTGTGTTTACGATTTTTAAAAACAGAAGAATACAATTTTGTTGGTACACACTGTATTGGAAATCTTGCTTTGACCGATTTCCGTTTTTTCGTGTTACATGTACATTACGATTTTGTACTTTATTCGTGCCAGTTCTTGATTTTTTTACATCCAAATATGCTCATTTTCTCGTTTTCTATAAGGGAACAGCCATGTATTTTATAATAGAGGGGGGGGGGGGGGGGGGGTTAATAAATTTTATCCTGATTCTCATTTATTGAAGAAAAATTTTAAAGTTTTTCTTGTCGTATAACACACTTTGCAGTGTCAGGATTGCACAAAGAAATTAAAGACCTCTCTACGGCAGGTCTTTCATTTAAACAATCCTGACAACCCTCGGTGTGTTATACGACAAGAACGACCTTAAAATATGCATTATGTAAAACAGAGAGACTAGATGATGATGACAATCAGTGGGTGTTTTATATCCAGTGGCAAATATTTAATACATATCAAAATGTGAACATTTTTGTGTGATTTGAAAATAAACCCTGATTTGTTCTAGACTGACATGTTAAGCAGAATTTTAAAAGCGTTAGTTCAAAAGGTAACAGTCCGTTGAAAGATATGTCACCTCACCCGGTACCATGATTCTGGTTCTAAGATGTTCTATTCTTGAATGTCAGTCATTGCACAGAAGCAGCAATATCAATTTTCAAGTCTGATCAGGAATCAAACCTATGACTGCCTCCCTTTGGCGAGAGGGCTACCACTAACAGAGACTATATAAATAAAGTTTTATTAACTTTAGATTGTTTTCTTACAAATACATTGGTAATGTTGAAAAAGGCTGCCTTTTTACTAAATTCATTGATCTAAAGTGTTTATGCCCATTCCATAAAGCATTATTTCTCACTGTCTGACATTGAAACAACCTGAACAACCCTATTTTATCTCAAAAACTTACATATTCAAATAACCAATACTTTCCATTGGAAAGAATTCTATCAAAATTGTTATTGGTTATGAATTTGTTTATATACATTGTTCAAACAGGGAACTTCCAGCAAAATTAAGCCTTGTAAACTGCTAACTGGTATGATCAAAAGCAGCTTTTTTCAAGACATGGTTACCTGAAAATATAACCCAACTTACCTGTGTTTGCTTGAAACCCCAAAATCATTTTAATGTCTAATTTTATTACCTGTCTGGTGTAACATCTGATAAATTTGTCGAATGATGCAGAGAATAAAAGATCTTCAAAAACACAAACAGTGGCGATGATGCCTGCAGCCTGGGTATATGTCCAACTCATATCGCCAGTCTAAAAAAAAAATGTAAGAGGTCAAAACGTAGATGATAAAGACAACAATACATGTGTCCAAATATAACTCTAGTTTGGCACATAGTGATAGTAAATAATAAATAAATATCTAAAATACAAGTCGACATACTTTTGATATGAGAAGTAAAATGCATGTTTAGACATTTTACCTAGAAATTCTAATTATAAGCTGTTTTAGAAGTGGAAAAGAAATGTATTGAGGATATCGGAAGGTTAATTTAGTCATAGATTTCTCTGCATCAATCTTGGTCTTTTTAGCAATCACATGGTCTGTTCTGAAAAATATTTTCTCTTAAACAAAAAATTGTGAAACAGCTTGAGTACATATCAATGTGCCTGTACACTCAACAGAAAAAAGAGAAATATTTACAGTAGACAATGTACATGTATGCAACAATAGACGGACAAGGTGAATGCAAAATAACCCCACTCCTAGAATGGGGCTTATAAACTTTAAGTTTCTTAGTCACCCTACTTGCCTTGATCAATTTGGAACACACTGAAAACTTGCATATTTAAAAATAGAATCAGTTTCTTAGTCACCATATCGTCCCAGCCTTGAACATTTTGAAATCACGGAAATTAAAAGTTATGTAAAGAATAATAAGCGTCTTAGTCGCCCTCCATGCTTCGAAATAT